GCGGACAAGCGCGGGTTGCAAATTGTCGGAAACTGACGAAAATTAGGGAGATCTGCGGGAGTTTACGGGGACGAAAATCTCACTTTTCATGCAGTGTTGGTTGAAAATTAATGAGCAAAGAAAGTGACCAAAGCTGGAGGTGAATACAGAGCTCCATCACACCTTTTTTGCCACCTCAAGTCTTTGCCATCAGAAACGGCCAAGATACTATCGCACAGATTCGCCTTCCGGTAGGCCTCAAACTGAAAGCCATAAACTTGAATCACCAAATAGTATAGCAATGACATAGATCAAAGCATAAATATGTACAGGAATTTTCCAGTCAAACTTCAAACAAAATCTAGTTTAGAATCTGCAGGAAATCTTAAAATCAAAGGTTTTCAGTCTTTAGATATGCAAAGCTGGTACCCTAAATGCTACTCAGCCAGTGGGGCTTAATATGAATGTATGCAGCTCTGTTGAGATTTTTTAGGTTAAATCCATCTACCGTTCTATTTCCACTTTTTTTTAATGATTGTCCATAGTGGTCTTTTACATCAAATCCAAATAAAACAGTATAAGTTTGTATCTATAATGTGAGAAAATGTCAAATGGTTGGAGGGGGCCTGAATAATTTTGCAAGGAACTGTATTAATTAAAAACCTTTGTAAACCCTCCCTGAACTATATTTCTGATCTCACCTGATTAGCATAAGGGAACACTCTTTGACATATCAAAAACATGGTTTGGTTTTGTTTTCATGAGAAATAATTAGATATTTTTGCATTTCAGGGGCTAGTATAAGGGAAAAACGCAGAGCGTAACCTGAAACTCCACAGAGTGACTGCTATTCATTGGCATGTTAGAATTCTTAGACAGCTGCATTTTCAAACCAGTGCCTTTCAGCTGTAAAATGGGGACCACATATCCTTTCCTTTTTTTACCACACAGCTATTTACACCCCATCTGTGGTGCTGACCAAAGCTGCTAAAACACACTTCATTAAAGTAGTTATTTTTTTAAAAGAAGAGCGCAGCTGTAGTTGTTGTCAGCTCCATCTTTTATTTCAAAATTAGAACAGTGATGTAAGCATCAAGATTGTACTCACATACTCTAGTCAAAGATTTTAAAAAGGAGGATTACATAATAAACCCCAGCAGGCTCCCTGTTGTTATGTGGCTTATCTACGCTCTACTAAGAAAAGGAGACAAAGCCATTGTTTACCTTAACGATGTCACCCTGTGCGAGCTGAAAGGTGCTGGCAGTGATGTTGATGCCTTTTCCGGTTTGGACCTGAATGCTGTACACGCATTCATGGCTGTTGTCGTAGTTCATTGGATAGTTAGGTGACAAAAGAACACCCTCATTGTTGGAGACGGTTGATCCACACTCCGCTGCCACAAAACAAAACAAAAAACAGACATTCTCATATATAAGAACAACATTACAGCATGCATGAAATAGACAGCGTCTAGCTGAATAATTACATAAAGGGTAAAAGTACCATGTTTACTTTATCACTGGATTAACAACTGCTATTAAAAATCCTTATAAACTGGCACAGACACACTACAAGAAAGTTAGTAGAGTTAAACAATCATTTTACATTCAATGATTCCTTTGTAATATTAAATAGTAGAGGATACTCAGCAGAATTGTCAGATTTATACATTCAAAAGTATCAATATGAAATTACTTCATATCTTGAGCCTTAATTAATATTTGAAAAACCAATGGATCTTACATTTTAGTCAACTCATCCTATTTATCTTACAATCTTTACAGTAAATAGGGGATTTTCTTGAACTCATTATTGACATGTTCAATTTAATTTATTGGCCCCATTTTGGGCCAATAAATATCTTTTTTTTTTTTACTCTTCTTTTTTAGGGAATGATTGATGATATGGCAAAAAGTTTCTTAGAATCTCTGACAGCACTCTACATACATCAATTTACTGCCAAACTCTTAAACTATGAAATACACATTCAAAAAATAAGGAAAGGAAAAATAGCTCAGCACGTACCCACACACCTTGGGAGCGGGGCGCTCCACATGTGGCGGCCGCCTCCCAAGCACACAATCTCTTTTGCCCCCTGTAGACGATAGCCTGTGTTGCAGTAGAACAACAGCGAGTCACCGATGCCAAATCTGGAGCCTGTGTGCCAGCCAAACTGAGGACTTCCAGGATCCTGACAAGGCTCAAGATTATATTCTGCAAATAGGATACAAAGAAATCATTGCATGCAGAAATCTGTTTAGAAGAAAACAAACATTGTCTCTGGTAATTATATTTCATGTAGGTTATATCTAAGGTAAACTTCCTTCAACAAGAATCCCACAATCCATTTTTTCTACTTCTTTACATTCATCGATAGAAAGAAAGAGCTACTGGGAATTAATTGTCTTGCTCAAGGACACTTCATTGGGCTAGGATACGTGCCTAAAGCATAAGATGTCCAGCTAAAGGATGGGCTCTCTAACTGTGATCACCTGGGGTACAAATCCTTTAACAGAGTTAGTGCAGGTGGTCTAAAAATTGTAGAAGATTAAACTCCAGCTTGGTTTGAGGAATAACACCTTGATGCTATCTGCATTTCTTTAAGATAGTCTGCAGAAGGCAATGTGGATAACCATGTCATAATATTGATTTGCAAGGCATTAAAGCCATAGTCTGCCGTAGGATGAATCTTGAGAAAATCAGCAACCTTTGATCAAAAGTTTTAAAAGGTCATGAAATGAATTCTAATCAGGGAATCTATAGATGCTAATTATAATGCATGCAAGGACAAAACACAATCAGCGACTGCTTTCTGAATATTCATGGCCTCATAGGTTATGCTTCACTTCAGCAAAGCGCAGACAAATATTTGGCAAGAAGGCTCGGTTTCAACTCTCCATCTTTTTTTTTCTCTACCATGCATTTCCTTCTGTCTTGCTACCTCAGTCTTTCTCTGCCCTAACTATCGTCCTTATTCATTTAAAACTGCCATCTGTCTCACCTTCCCTCTCTATCTGTTCAAGTTCTATTTCCACTTCTCTGTAATTATCCATTCCTTGGTCTCGGCATGGGGCCCATTTTTCTTTGCGCCGCAGTCTCCCCAGTTCTCAGGTCACTGGCCCACATGCTTTGATGAGTGTTATTATCATAGTCAGACGCCTACTGCCTGCATGACCTCTCTGTGTGGTAATTATCCTCTTCTTACCAGCGAGCCCCGAGGCAGAGTTTACCTTCAACCCAATGACCAACAAAACACCCATTAAACATTACTTTATGCAGGCTTCAGAGAGGCTTGTTGCTCTTTCATCTCTTTATACAACAATCAAAATTCTATGCCTTTCTGTTTTTTTGTTTGTCACTGTCCTTCAGTTTGGCATCCTATTTTCACCATTCATCCTATCTCCCCCAAATTTCTACTTCAAGTCTTTTAAATCATTAAATAAATTCACTTCAACCCACTTGCACTTCTCCAACAAACAGAACAAACATATGCCTTCTTACCTGAGAAGGAGATGTTGAATCCCTGCAGAGATATGGAGAAGTCAGAAATGAAGCGTAGCTGGGCCTTGAAGTTCCCATACAGGCCGGCATTAACTGGTGCAGGTCTTTCTGAGCCAGTGAGTCGAGCCAGAGGCTGAGCGAAGCTGCCATTTTCTGTTATCAGAAGGTAGTCATGGTGATCCTCCAGGTGGAAGGAGTGAAAAGTGAACTGGACACCTTGGAGGAGAAAATAAAGTCCATGGTTGGAGGGATGTAGATCATACACAATAATAGAGTTAGAGAAATCCTTAATACATGGATATCAAAAAATCAAATACCCTGAAATAAATACATGTTGTCATTAAAATAATAAAAACTATATATCTTATTTGAAATCATAACCTAGGGTTTACATAATCCATAAAATGTTTCTTTTTTTTTTAAGATGCAGTTTTAAATTATAACCATGTTGAAAAATATGGAAGGTGGCAAGTGTTAAATACAATAAATAGCTTATGAAGTGATTATTTAAATATGTCATTAATCTTTAGGGTTAGGGTTAGTTTTAGATCTTATAAAGCCGGTCCACTTTTAAAGTTTCTTATGAAATAAAATCAAATGACAGAGAAATTGCCCCCAATTTACACTTCGCCTGCCTCTGTTGCAGTGCAAAGCCCAGAGTAGATCCAAGGAGCTAGATTGCACGACTAAAACCAGTAATAAATGTGGAAGTAGTTTGGCCCTGCCCCTCAATATTAGGACAGAACACACCTACAGTACGAGATACTCTTCTACATTTATTGGAAATAATATTATTAAAAATGACAATATTTTTAAGTTGTGAATACATTTTTTAATGTTGTGTATTTTTGTTTTACTGTACCATACTGACCATATTGTATTTATTACTTAGAATAAATCTGATCACAATTTTTTTTATGAATATTAATGTACTGTTTAATAATGTTTAGTATACAGATTTCTGTGTTCTAAAAATATTTTTTTTTTTCTAAAATGACAGGTTTTTTTTATTTCGTTTCAAAACTTGTTTTTGGGATGTCACGAATTGGCTTAAGGTTCAAAGAGTTAATAAGTTGTGATTGCTGTGTTAATTTGGGATGTTAATAATAGTATTATTAATAAAAAAAAATCATTAATTATAAAGAATTAAACGTTTTAATTTTTTTCTACTTTTGTGCACTTTTCAAAGAGCTCCAAATTGCAGCTAAATTGTTTAGATTCATATTATGCTCAATGAAAAAAAAAAAAAAAAACACAATTCAAAAGCTGATGTTTGAAGTTGACTGGATGCAGTTACAGTACCCCAGAGATGTTGCCCCATGGATGGGAATAATTGTAAAAATTGACTTAAACAAAAAATCCAAATTAAGAAAAATTGAAAAAACCTTTTCTATTTAATCATATTTAAATTTATGGTAATTAAGGAGTAATTAAAGAAAAAAAAACTGTTCCAAGTCTCCCCTACATATTTGTGTGTATAAATAAGACAAATGTAATAGCTCATATAACCTAATCTCAAAAAGCCGCAGTATGTAAACCCAAAAAGATATTATTCTTCTGGTTTATCACACTGTTGCTCAGATGCAACAACAACATCCTGATTCTCTCTCTGATGGCCAACTGGCTGCTTTTCAGCACAATCAGTGCTGCCATGTCGATGCCATCTGTTGTATCCGTTCCAGTATGACTATGTAATGTCCTTCACAATGTTCAGCTCTCTTGATAAAAAAGTCTCAAATGACCCTTAAATAAATAAATAGAATGAAATGATGAATCATTTCATTATAAAACATAAAGGTGAAGATCAATTAATCAAAAGTCACCTCTGTGTGGGATATCATAACTACTAAAATACAGAATTGACTAAATGACGATAATAAACCTAATTTTGTTGTGCCCTGCAGTCTGCGGATGATTTACAATATGGCATTATAAAAAGTGAAAGGTGGTACTTACAAGTAAAAGAAAACAGCTTTATTAGTTTTTAATATTAGTTTTTAAGTACTTGTAATGGATTTACTTTTTTATCAAGGTTCTATTGTTGTGGTTAACATTCTAAAGAGTTTTTTATTAATCTTTTAAGTTTATTAACTGGAAGATAGAAGTTGGAACATATATAGTGTATTTCATGTCACTTAACATACATACACGTACGTTCTGTAGATTTACAGCATTTAGTCTATGTACAGAATCCTCATGGGGATATGTAGAAACCTCAGCTTTTTATGAAACAGATGAGCATATTTAGATTAATGTGACCTATTACAATTATTAATTCATTACAAAAACATAAGAAGGGAAGTTAAAGACGAATTAAAATCCAAACCAAATAGTTTTGTTTTGAGTTAATTTAAATTTAAGTATTTAATGCGACTTTTGGTAAAGCAATAAAATTTGACTTTGGGAAATAAAGAAATTCTAATTTTCTCCTTGATTAGGGTAAAGTGTAAGGAGCATAACAAGGAGCATACGAACAAACAAGCAAACTTAGTGGGCTTTTTATGGGGGCTTTGTTAGGTGGTAAGTGAAATGCAAATTATTGTCATTTTTGTATACACAGATTGTATACAAAATTAAATTTAAATATAGCTTTTCAACAGTGAATGAGCATCTAAGCAGTGAAGATGAACATTTCTATTTATATAGTGCAGAAGTGATCAAAATGTACACAGTGTAGGAGAGACATGGTGCAAAAGGAATTGATGTACAAAGTTCAGATCAGTGCAATATTAAATTGATAAATATGGTGCAAAAGGCAGTAAAACTTTGAGTTGAATTGTATTTTTATGGATTTGAAAATTTGCCATGTAGTGCAAACCCTTTATTTGTTAAGAAAACTAAAAACATCTTAGCAGAGCGGCCATTAAATGCGAAGCTTCCTGTTAAATTTAATTGAGTAAAACCTCATAAAATGCATTGCTTTAAGCAACATAAAATTCAAACCAACTAAGTTCAAATAAAACCACACATTTCCTACCTTTTCCATGGCTGACTTCAACAGTCCATGTGCAGTTAAGGGAGTTAGGATAGAGTTCTGGATAGCCCGGTGACAGGATTATCCCAGCAGGTCCCCTGATATCCCCACCACATGATGCTGAATAGAAAAGGAAGATAATAGATAGTCAGTGTCAATAAAAAAAAAAAAAAGAAACTCCAATAAATCCTTCACCTAAAGTCAAAGGACCAATTGGCATGAATAATGCATTCAACTCATATCATATCCGCTGATATTTTTATGAGGACCTGCTCTGCTGCTGCCAGTACAATGTTTTTCTTTCTTCATCTTTCCAAAACAGTCCTACCTCTTTGTTGGACATCAAGTTATATATTAGGTGAATTATCCATTCAAGATTTCAAGTCTTAAGAAAATATAATATCATTAAACATGATAATCCTGATGCTTTGTTGATCTAATTAGCAGTAGATCTCTTATCAAACGTTCAGTGTCTGAGTTCTGTTCAATCAAATTCATTTTTTCCCCACATACTTATCTCAATAATGTTTTTATACTGTTTCTTTATTTATAAATCAGGTTCCATATTCCAGTTGTTATTTTTTTTTTTGATGTGGACACAGATAAGATGAAAAGACAGGGAATGCAGTCAGAGAGAGAATACTGCCACCACCACCACCACAGTAATATTACTCTGATAAATGGCTGATTGGTGGCTTAAATGACTGCCAAAATGCGCCTTATCTTATCAAAAGAACTTAATGAGTTTTGTTTTTTCCATCAATGGTTGTTGATGGACACTCAGAGGTGAAAGCCCGATCTGCCCGAAGGTTAAGTGGTGTAATTGGATATAGTTTGAACCTGTAAATGTTTCTTTATGCTGTAGCAGGAACTCAGTTAAAAAGGTTGTTTCTGATTAAGGATAATGCATGTCAAACAGCATTCATAGAAATAACATAAGCTGTATCTATCTATCTATCTATCTATCTATCTATCTATCTATCTATCTATCTATCTATCTATCTATCTATCTATCTATCTATCTATCTATCTGTATAGATATAGATATATGGAGGATTTTATTCAGTTATATACAGCTGGGCTCCACAGCTGCATGTACAAACCACTCCCCCCTCCCAACCTGAGGAGTTTAACAATACACCAAGGACTGTATCGTCAACCATCAGCAAAAACAAAGAAAAAAAAGCAAGAAGTCATTAATAAGCCAGCATTACTTAAAGTTATTAAAAGTTAATGAGTATGCTATGCAAATTATTATTGTACATGTAGCTTGCCAAGGCATTTGGCACCACACTGGCACATACCTAGGGAAGAAAATACCTTATAGTTATAAATATGATTTTAGAGCAGCCACTTTGAGAGACTTGTAAGGGATCACATTGTTTCGTGTACATTATGTGAATCCCTGCATATTTCTGTTCTTTTATGCCGGTGAAGCGCTCAACAAAGGAACATTACCTATGTTCTTTCATTGATTTGCCAAAGTTCTCAGTGTGTTTCTAAACAAAACCCAAATATTAAAGGTGGAAAAAAAACACCCTAAAATAAAGAGATTACTAAGTTAGCTGAAATAAAGCAGATGAAGGGAAATGCATTACATTCATTATATAATAAATGTACTCCAGAAAATCACATTTAACTGCCTATATTTAAAATGGAAAAGGGACAGTTATTTCTACTATGTCATGATTAGTAAAGTTATAGTAACATTATATGTTTACTGTTTTATAAATATATTCAAGTAACTAGCAAATATCTTGTGGTGTCCATTCTGTTGAATTAGTCGTCACCGAAAGTAATGTTTTCACAAGCTGGTTGTCTTTGCTGAATAAAACCCCATGTATAAAAGCACTGACAAAATCCATTTGCATAGCCAGTACTGCTCAAGGCAACACATAATGCTTCATACCAGGGTTTGCACTGAAATTAATGAATAATGCATGTGGAAATTAGTATTTGTATTGTAGAATTATTGATTTTCCTATAATTTCTTAATTATACCGTTAGCCAGTATAATTGATTTGCTGCAAAAGAACAAAAGAAGGGCCACTTTCCTTGTTTCAGTAAAGAGACTCATACTGTATATGTGCTGAAATTCACATGAACTGTTCACCCTTACATACCATCACAAGTGGGCAGCGAATGGCTCCAGAAGTGGTTTTTCTCACAAACAAGTGGTTCTTCGTGGCTCAGTCTATATCCAGGGTCACACTGGAAGGACACGATGGAGCCAATGGACAGATCATGGCTTAGCCGCAAACCGTTCACTGGGATTCCAGGATCCATGCAGGAGTATGTATCCAATGTGACCGCTAGCAGAATATAAAAAGAAATACATTTCATCAAACATGCTGCTAATGTATTGTTTTACTTTTAGTTTTACTTCACTGTAGTTCTTGCTGCCAACTGTAAAACAGTTGGTGGTTTAGGAGGCATTTAGTGTTTTTTGCTTGCAATGGAAATTAGTGTAACCCTTTGAGATAGTCGTCTAGGGTTTGCCCTAACAAAGATGTTGATTGGTCCTCAAAGTACTGGAACATCAGCTCCTGCTGGAAAAGGGAAATTTATATCTACTTATGTTTAAAGGTATAGTGGAGGATGTTCTTTTTCCCGGTGGATCATAAAAAATAAGTGGTCCTCCTAATTGTCAATCAGTCTGGTGACATGTTTACGTAAGGCCATCCTTTGTGCTTGTCCCCATTTTCTCTTACAGTACATGTCTGACATGGTGGAAAAATTGCAAATCTTCTTTTGGAAAGTAAGCTTGTATGAGTGATGCAAACAGCAACTTGTAAACACAGCATGCACAAAGAGAAATGGGCACACGTCTAATAGGTGTTCCCTCTCAAGGCCGGGTACAGGGTTGAAAGTGGAGAGGGTGGGTCTTTTAAAATCCTCCACTATACATTTAAGTAGTTGCGCTATGAGTCATTGGCTTACATTTCATGTTTATTATTTTTCAAATTTTTCTGTCTTGTACAGTAGAATATCTTTTTAACAAACTACAGTATGGGGTTTTGTAACTTTCATTTTTGAATTAAAACAAATATGCAGCTTTTTGGAATCATTCTTATGTTTCCTCATGGTTGTAACTCGGTCCATCAGAGATAAATAAATAAAATACTGATTTTTTTAAAAGATATCTTTGTGTTAACATGTGTGATTATCTGATACATTTATAAAAACATAAAGCAAACACAGGTCATCTGAAGGGGCAAACCTTGCTTACCTGTATCTGTTTGTTATAGGAATTCGTTGAACTTTGGTACCTCATTTAAAGTTCACAATTTATAACATGGATGTAAAGTCACACAACCGTCATGAAAAAAACAAAAAACAAACATAGTTTTTTCCCATTGTAAAAAAATCAGTCCTCCATTTCAGTTAGAGCATATTTCTTACTAATTAAAAAATTGCACCTTTACTCAGCTGATAACCAGCAGTATAAATTAACCATATAAACACAATAGTTGAATACTTCACTGCTTATGAGTTTGGTATCAGTATTTTAATAACTATTTTCCTTTTTGCCACAAAATGGATAAATAAATTGATTAATAAAAGGTAATAAGAGCTAAAAATTCAGCAGAGTCATTAGTTGCTTCAGATTTTGGATGTTGGCATTTTCTTCCTATTTGTTGTTTTTTGTTGCCGTTGATAATCCAGGACCAGGCCCACAGAGAGAGGGCAAAAGGTGCATGTGAGGTTGTGTTCAGCATTACTGGGCAGTTGTTTCATGCAGAGGCAGAATTGAGGCTATGACCTTCAAGAAGCCACAAATACACTCTTATGCTCACTGAAAATACTGGACCACTATAGTTGGCTTTCATAAAAAGTACTTTCATGGCAGTTTTGCCTCAAGAGTACCCTGGTGCAAATTGCAGCTCTATAAGCAGGAAAAAGATGGCCCCATTTTTCCTGTGATTTTCATGACTTCCATTTGGCTTTCTTCCAGGTAGGATTTCTTTTGATGCACTAAAAATATGCAGACTTTAAGCAATGACTGGCAACAGATGTGTAAGCAGTTGTCAGGTCATTGGCAGGGAGACTATTCTAAGGCAGGCTTTTATTTTTAGCTTAGGTACACAGAAGAAAGCAGTGTCTACCAGGATCAAACTACGACCAACATGTATAAAGTCGATGTATCTCACTGAAAGCATCACAGGGAAAACGTTTTTCTTTCTTTCAGATCAGGGTCTTACCAAGCCTGAAGTATTAAAAGAGAAGATAAGATAAGATCTTCACTGAGTTCTAAAAATAGTTAAATCTATGCTGAAAGAAAGAAAGATAGAAAGAGCACATCCATATTATCAGGTTGTATTAAACAATAATAAAGCCAAAATAGGGATGTCAGGTGTAAAAAACAGTGTGCTTCTACTATTGGATTTAGGCACCAAGTAGCAGGTAAGTTCTGCTAATCAAGGAACCTAATTAACTACCATAGACAGGGTGGTTAAGCAACGAGATATATAATATTTACGGGTCTGGAGAAAACAGTTTCTGTTATGATTCTTTGGAAATAAAGATGTCCTCCAGGTACAATTGTAAGAATCGATGGTCTGGAGAGTATAATAATGAGAAAAATTGATTACAAACAGGAGAAAATTTTGTATATTTGCCATAACACAATGCACAGACCCCAGTTAGCATGTAAAAATGTGCAGTTTATGACACCAATATTAAAGGAAAAGGCCAAACACTTCTTCTTTGAAAGCACTGAATGACACACACTTTTCGAATATCAAAACCCTATAGTTTACTGTGTGTGTTTTCCGTTGTATTTGAAGAAAGCACAAAACTTCTGAAATAAGGACCTTAAATAATGACAGATGAAGCTTAAACGTTTTCTTTAAGCCACAGTTTCATGTTTGAGGAAGACAGCATACCAGCTGAGAAACCTAATATCAACTGTTAAGCGTGGTGGTCGAATTGTGATGATTTGAGTTTGTTTTATAAATACAGGGTCAAAGCACCCTGCTTTCATTGAGTCAGCCATGACATTTCTAGTTGTGGTAGAAGCAACTTAGCTTTATATAGATCATAGGTAGCTTTGTCATCCAGGATGGAGTTCCGTTCTTCTTGCTATCAACATCAGTTTAGGCGAGTTAACAATTTAAATGGTGCAATTCTCGTTGAAGGCTCCCTTTGAAAGCTCATTGTCAATTCCACTGGGAGCAAAAACGAGGACATATGCAGAATATGCCTGAGGGACCATACGCACCTTCTGGTCTGGTGACGTTTGAATCCAGCTTAGCTTACAGTCTTTAAATAAGCAATAACTCTTCTCATGAATACAAGCAATGGCTAAATTCACTGGCTGATCTCCAAGCAAATAATGGAGGGAATTTGCAAGGAGATCAGCCAGTCAATGTTCACTTTTCTTAAAATTGGCAAATATGTAATTTTCTATCTTTACTGTAAGCTGTAGAAATTGGCTTTAAAATGATTCCCACAAATAGGAAACTTTTGTTCTGCAACTAATTTGACCAAATTCTTTCTTGTTTATACGGCTCTATAACAAAGCAAATGTAGGGACCCTATACATAACTGGAATCAATACAATTTTACCCTGCGTCAGTTTATTTACTGTATAACTCACCCTTATTTTCTATACAATGCTACATATAGAGTTGGCAAGGTTTCCCTTGGCATTTTCAGCAATTAGATATATCCTAAATGGCACTGGAAAAAGATATTATGATCCTGCTGTTATTGCTTTTCAATGTCCTCATCAACAAAAGAAAAATGCTCTTGAGAACAAAACATAATAAGACAAGGGCACTTGTGGCCTGCTTTCAGTCAATAATACAGACATAATAGCTAACTTTGTCTTATGAATCAAATCAGAATGACACGGGTAATGATGCCACTGCAAACTACTATAAAAATAGATCAAACTATGTCGAGAATATTTTTCTATCTAATTCTTCAAAGGTTAGCAGTGCAAGCATAATACAATGGAAAGAAAAAGCTTAGCATACAAGCTTAAACACATAAGATATCAGAAAGCCACCTAATCCTGTAGAATTGTTTAATGCAGCTGCAATTAGTGCTGTTCGTGGTACATAGAAATATTTGTAATCAAAGTGGAAGAATACATTTTGAAAGATTGATATTTATCATTTTGAATTAGAAAAGCAACAAAGAAAATTACATATCCTTTAAACTTATTCCAACTTAGTTTACATTTTGTACCACAGTTCTCTATCATAGAGTGCCCCAAGGCTTGCAGGATAATTCTGTTTATCACCACAGAGCTCCTATGTGGAGACTCAGAGTCAACAAATTATGTCAACTCTTTATTCAATTAAAAAACAATACATGATTTAGTTGCTTCACCGACACAGAGCAATGGTTTCTGGAATTAAAACAGCAAACAGGGAAACAACAAATGTGCTTAATTTTTAGCAGAAATTCACAAACAGTTACTTGAAAACATGACAGACATACTGCTTCCCTAATTAACCCCACATCTTGCTGCAATGACAGCTTTAGTAAGACTGACAGTAAAAAGTGCACCACATGTCAAATTATATTAAATTGTCATCTTCATGTGAGAAAAAGCACAAAAAACAAAATCAAAGGAGAAAAAACAAAATGGTAACTCTAGAAACAGCTTAAGTGCAGTGAAACAAAAATAGTACCAAGCTCCACACAGGCAGTTGCCTCAAAAATTGAATGTTTTCGGAGAATACAGTAGGTGTATGCCCTATGCAAGAAGAACTCAGCATGTACTGTATGTTTTGGTACAAAACTGACCTATTACCATGCCTCACCACCATTAGATAAATATTACTATTAGATGAATTACAAACATAGACTTTAGTCTGGACTTGAAATAAACCCATACATTTCCAGTTACACAAGGGAGTGTAATTCAGATCCAACAAAGTAAACTTTGCAATATATGTCGCCTTTAAGGTTAGGTTATGCCTGATGCACAAACAATCCGTGCTGAAAATGAGACGCCACTCAGAAGTTGTGCAGCATTTATACTCTGCACAGCTTTTCTCTCAAGCTCTCCAGCTCAAGGGGGAGGCATGTACAGCACAGACTGCAAGCTAACAACACCAAACTACACTAGGAAGTAGAAAACACAGCCATTTACAACAGTTTAAAAGTTTCTTAATGCCGTCCAAGAGTGACAGTCGTTTCTTTCCAGGCGTTTTCCCACAATCTGTTGATAGTGGTGATATTTATGGGCTATCTCATGGAATGTCTCTAGATGTTTACATTTGCCAATTTGCAATTTGCCAGTAGGACCTGTTACTTTTACTAGCTCAGCATTCACATAGTTACAAATATATCTAGGTGTGTAACGCGGAAATTTTGTCTGCACAGACAGCGCACAGTCCGGCATAAATGCCAAAAATTACTTAATTTGGCCGTGCAAACCTTGAAGACGCCTCAACTGCTATGATGTTAACATTTATGTGCTTCCGATCCACTTATGGCACTATAATGCTAAAAAAAAGAATTCCTTTGTGTCTATTAGCCATTACCACCTTTGTATTGGATACATTTTTATTACTCAAGTATGAATGTTATATTACCTGCCTGTTACTTGTTAAGGGTAATGTTTTCCCAAGCAGTTTATCTAATTTCTTTTGTCAGGATAAACAGTTCCCATCTTCATTATGTACATATAGATTTGGGAATGAAATTATGGCACACATAGAGTGTATAATTCTTAACAACAAGCTCTCTGTGCATTCGGAATGGCCTTTATCTGGAACAATGTGTAATATTTTGATATGGCTGGGACCAGAACTTGAGCTCAGTTGTGTATGATGTAATGATGTGATGATGTGGCAGGCTATGTGTGTGAAATGCTTCTTTAACTGGTATTCTAGGCCGACTTTCTCAGAAGCGAGCCCAGTGGGAAGCTCTGCCATCTGTAACACAAGCCATCTCTCTGGTTTGGGGGAGTGGCGGCCTAGTGGTTAGGGTATTGCGCCTAGAATCCTGAGGTTCTGAGTTCAAGCCCCATTCCCACAGAATGCCACTCTGGGTCCCTGAGAAAAGACCCTTAACCCCACACTGCTCCCCCGGCGCCGCGCAATGGCAGCCAACTGCTCCCCAAGGGGATGGGTTAAATGCAGAGAAGGAATTTCTTTACTCTGTAATTGTGACAGTGTAATGACAATAAAAAAAAAAAAAAAGTTTAAAAAAAGCTGGTCTGAGCACGATTACAATTTCTGGAAAAACCATTATCATGTCTCATAGTTAATTCAATACATATACATTATGAGGTGTTATTTAAAGTGTTTATTCCAAGTGATTTCTTCTCAGGAAACAATCTGGGAGACAAAGCTTAATGGTGTAAACACAGAGCTTTCCTTTAAAGTACACAACATGCATTATTGATTTATTTTTCTTATTTACTGCAAAATCATTAGATTAAACACTACTATCATTCCTTTACACATTAATGGTATTATTAATGGTAACTAATGGTACTTTTCTGATGCTTTGCAGCTAATATAGTTATAGAATTGCGCTGCTCAAGGTGGCTGCACTTTGGAGTAGCTGAGGTAGTTCAATTATAATAAAAAAAAAAAATTATAAGAACCTCAGCGCCCCCACTTTATTTTTCTAAGGATTTTCACTTCGGGTGTTAAACGTTGTAATTTTGCCAAAATCTTTTCTTTTTTGGAAATTTCTTGGTAAGTTTCATAGCAAGTTGGTTCTTACATCTAAAAGCAGCTTATTAGATCTCGAAGGCTGAAATAAAACATAAGCTACTTCCAGCTGAGTTTAAAATGTGGTGTAGAGGATGCAGAGGAGCAAGGAAAAGAGAGAGGAGAAGGAAATACAAGTCATCTCTTCCATAAAATATTATAGACAATGTGAGATCTTTAGGAAACAAGTTAGAAGAATTCCAAGCCAATGGACTCAGCCAGAATATTGAGAATACACTATTATTTTTTTTCTTTAACTGAGACCTGGCTGCAGGATCATAAACCTGACTCAAAAGTTTCTCTGCTAGGCTTTTTGAGAGTAGTGTGGAAAAGTCATGAGAGATGGGTTTGCAGTGCTTGTGAATAACAGATGGCATCATCCAGCACGTAAGCGTGAATTTTTTCCCTCCAGTCAAGGAATTTAACTGTTGGTAGTCTGTTTTCTACGGTGGCCCAGAGGTATCAACACTAATACAAAAGCTGCAACGCAAATACAAAAGCTGCAACATAAACACAAAAGCTGCAACACAAATTCAAAAGCCATAACATAAATACAAAAGCCGCAACACAATTACAAATATTTGTATTTGTGTTGCAGGTTTTGTATTTATGTTGCAGCATTTGTATTTGTGTTGCGGGTTTTGTATTTATGTTGCAGCTTTTGTATTTGCGTTGCAGGTTTTGTATTTATGTTGCGGGTATTGTATTAGTGTTGGCACCTCTGGGCCACCATAGTTTTCTTCCATATTATTTACCCAGTGAGTCCAGCCATGTTGTATTTGTAATTGTAAGAATTCCACCTTCTGCTATTGCAGACAGTGTGTGTAATGTCATTAGTTCTGCTGTTTAAAGTCTACAGACACAGCCACAAGCATTTGGGGCATTGACTGATGATTTTAATCATATTTCACTCACTTCTAATCTTCCAAATTTCCAGCAGTTTTTTAGCTGCTACAGTATACCAGAGAACAAAAAAAGGTTGGAACTTTTTCATACAAATATCAAGTGCTCATATATTTCCTTTTGGGAAGTCACATCACAATCTTGTTTTTCTGTGCTCAGAATATAAGCTCCTCTATAAAAGACACCATTTAGCATGCTTTCTAATTACAGCATACCTAGCACAGGCAGGACTTTAAGACAAGACGAGCCTCCAATGTGACATCTACGTTGCCTCTGCCAAGAACTAACACACTGAAAAACTATTTTAAATGACAAGCTGTTATTGGAACAATTTGCCACATTTTAGACTGATAATCAAACATGTTAAGCAGTAAGCAAATAATCCTACAGACTTAATGATCACCTAAATAAGATCTTACTAATGCCTAGTGAAAGTATTTTTTTTGTGTTTTGAGCATAAATATTAGTTGTTAAATGTAATGTCAGTCTGTTGTAAGGATGTTGTCTTTGTGTATTTTGTAATGCTTTTTAATTATATTTATTTAACACTAGTCCTATTTGCTAACTTTGACTGAAGTCTATATTTGATGTTGGGATTTATTTGTTTATCTTGATGTTTTATGATTAAAACGGACCCCAGGAAGAACAGTACTTACTGTACTTTGGCTGGGAGCAATTGGGATCCCTAAATATATAGTCCACTATATAGCTGGGACTATATAGTGGACTTTATAGTGAACTCAGAAAACTGACCCTTCAGACATATGACCATTACTTTTCTCTCCTCGTTGGTCACAGGACTCCGGCTCACTGCACAGTGCCCGCAGCATCTTTGTTTTCTCTCACCCTCAAAAAAAATCCAATGATGCTATGGTTATTAATTTCTAAACAAGCAATAAATACTTTAAATATTATTTTACCTAAATAATGTATTATTATTCTTTTTGATATGCATTGCTGCTGTCAATTGTTTTAAATTAGTTGTTAATCTGATTTAACCTATTTCCAAATTGTTTAATATAAACTTTGAAACTAATCCATACTGAACTGTCAGATAATTGCATAACTTCCAATTATTTTCAATCATTTTCATTTGTTTCTTTTCCTTATTTTCATTCAGCTTGCTTCGTTAAGGGTTTTCAATAAAAAAACGTTTAACCTAAAGAGGTATTATATTTGAATATTAAATCTTACTTGAGAAGCTTGCTATTCAACAATATCATTGCTCATAATCACATTTTCATCTGTTGTTCCAACACAACACCAAGGTTTGGGCATACGTACCTTGACAAAATACAACAGATTGAAAGTTATTTCATTACATATTAACTGAAATTAACTAATTTATATTGAAACAGGACCACCGTTTTCATCTGCTTTTTTGGGAGCTGCAAGTAGCGCTATGGTTCTCTGCCTGACCTAATATATAAATTGATAAACTATTGTCTGGTTTTAAGTGTAGAATCACCACTCTTAATAATATTTGCACATCAAAATAGTAATTTTGAGTCTGCCCTAAAGAATGTTAAGCTTTGCAGCATAAGCTGTTAGTGATATAACTTAATGAGCTTATACAATAAAAATCTAGTCAAAACAATTTATGGATAAAATACATTTGAGTATCAAATGCAAGATAATTAGATATTTATAGGTAATTGTCAATTTAAAGAAAACCATATAACATAGCACCACATTCTCACCTTCATAGAAGATCTTGAAGCCACTATTTGATCGGCTGTTGTCAGTCGTAAAAAGCAGATATAGAAAGTTACTGCTACTAAACAGGAATTGAGGGACCTGGGTTCCGTTATACGAGCCAATCAGAGGGGAAAGCAGGTTGGGGCCATCGTGCACTTCCAGAAAATCATAACTGAGCTCTGTTTGAAACCTTAGGAGCAGAAAAAACACAGCAAAGATAAGTAAGATAATGAGTTTGCATATTTTCATTCAGCACAATACCCCTAGTTTGTTACCAACAGACTAATTTTGTAATAAAACATGAGACATAACTTGCACCAGCAATCATACTGATTATTTTGACAGCATAAGATCAATGGGCATCTTGGAAATATGACATGATATGAATATAAAGCAGGTCTACATCAAACAACTTCCATTAGCACAAGGTTTTAAAGAAATTAATCAATATTAATTTAAAGAAAAACAGTAACGATATTTTAACAGATTTATCTTCTAATATGCTGTTATTTCAAGAAAATGCTGCAAGACCTGTACATCATCATAAATGATAAAATGTGGATATGAGATGAGTTTCCTACCAGAAGGAAAACTACTGATTTAATTTATAAAAGATGATTAGAAGATCCTTGAAGCTAATTACAGAGGAGTACTGGAGGCAATACACCCCAAAAAATATTTAAGGTAGGGATGGAACCAAAGCCACAATGAAACAGTTTAGATCAAAGGTTATTATTATTAGAATAAAAAGTCAAATCCAGAACAAGATCATGCTTTCCTGTTGTAAAACTTATATGCAGATGCTTTAAACCATACTTTCATTTTAATGCAACTATAGTTTAGCTTGTATAAAATAAAAATAGCAAAGTGTTGCTGAAAAAATAAATAAATTAAAAGCTTGAAGGTTTTAATTGTGGCAAAAGGCAACTCTAGAAATTAGTCAGCTGAACACCACACCCACAAGATGTTTAGGTTTTTGTGTAAAATATTGTGAAAACCATGGAATATTTTCCATTGACTTCCCAATCCTACATTACTTTTTGTATGGCTTGAAGTTATAACATAAATAAATGTCAAAAAATGTTGAGAATACTTTTCCAAAGCACTAGGTCTGCAGAAATCACTAGGCAAAAAAAGAAATTTCAAATATTTGATGCTTTGACCATCTTGCTTACTTTTGAGTTCAGAATTCTATGTATCTCACAGTTTTCCAAAGTGAAGGGTATGCTGTGTACATGTGGAATACTTGTTTTAATCTGATTGTATACATGTATTTGCTTAAGACTTGCGTTGTGTGTGATAAATTTCTATGCGTCTTTGTAAAAGTGTTTTTATATTTATACACATGTTCATGTACTGACATACAGACCTTTCAAAGCTAATCTTGATGGAGCGTCCGGCCTCGGCCTCAATAACCCACTCACAGCTAAGGGAGTCTTTGTAGTAGCCGGGCCACCCAGGGGAGAGAATGAGACCAGATGGCCCTGAGTAGTGCCCCCCACAAGGAGCTGGAGGAGCGAAAAAGAAGAAATGTTTAATAATTCAGAAGATTGAGAGTTTAAATTATAATTTTAATAATGAAAGAAAAAATATGGCATAAATCACCAAAGCACTAAAACAAAACATATAGCTCATTGCAGATGTTCCTGGTTGTGGTGAAAGAAACCCACCCAGATGTTGCTCTTTATTTGTCCTTTCAGATTAACCTATTGCAAATACACAGAATAATTACTTTATCCATTCCAGTACCTTCACATTTGGGAATGGGCCCACTCCACATCACGTTCCCATCCTCTAAATGGCATGAGATGGTGTCAGCTCCCTGTGTTTTGATGAAACCCTCCTCACAAACCACAGAGATGGAGTTACCCAGTTGGAAATTGTCCCCAAAACGCCTTCCATTCAGAGGTATGCCAGGATCAGGACACTCATTTTGCCCAAAAGCTTGTAAAAGAAGGGAGAAGCAAGATGTAAAGTCAAAGGCAGCAAAGATATAAAACCATTAGAAACCTAGCCAAGAGAGGCATTGTAAGGATAGCTGTGGGTAAAACAAAACAACACATAGTAGTCCTCACAGTACTGACTGCTGTGAGATTTTTAATAGGTTGGTTATAGTGTAAATTAAAGCAGAGGAGAATAAAATGGCATTTTTTATTAATATTTATTATGGGACTGTTACTTCGCTGTGGTAAAAGCATGTTGAAAATAAAATACTTCTGTTAAAGCAATATTAATAGCGATATATCCAAAGTATAAGGTCATCACTATAATAATTCAATTAGGAATAAATATACCTAATTCTAATCCAAACATTTTTTAATGTATTTTTTTATTTTAATCATTCCTTATTTTTTTTACTTATGATAAAATTACAGGCCTTTCAGTTACAAATTAGAGCTGGATCTCTGAACAATGTTATTTTAGAAGATTTTTAGCCAAAAAGAAGGCAGTGTTAAGAGTGACTACACAGAAAGGTCAGAGTGTCCATCAAAGGCAACAGTATCCTTCTCTGTGAAAAAATAAAGCCCTTATAACATCCAGCCAAGAGAACAATACTCTCCAGGAGCTAGTCATTATCCAAGTCTTCTATCAAAGAAGGACTTCAGAAGAGTAGATTGAGCGGACTGAACACAAGGTACCTACGTTCCATGAGCCTCAGGCCTAAAGAAAAGCTAGGTGTAAATTTGTCAAAGAAGACAAAGAAAACATCCAAAAAGACAAGATCAGTTATTGAAAAAATCTTTTGAAAAGATTAAATAAAAATAATGAACAAAGTCATGGATAGCTTTATGATAAATCTTATGGATCACCAAGACGCTAGCTCACAATGCTTTGTTTAAGAGTGTGAAAAAGAACAAGTAGGGCCATAATTCTTATGTGTGAAAGGATTTATTCCCTGACCATGTTCAGCTAAATGCAACTGCAGTTGTGGACTGGTGAAGTGTCCCCAAGGAGCCATGCTTTGTTAATGTCCATATGTTTCAGAATGCCATGAGTGAATACAAGTAAGATGAAGCACAGCACTGAGAATAAAGATTTATTTTAATGATTCAGTTAACTAATCAGTTCAATCTTCAGCTGCTGGTTAAAAATTATTTTCATTTCCTATAAGGCTATACAGTGGATTTAGTGAAAAGCATTCTTGTGTTGCAGCTGGATTTCTGACTGAACTTTTGCAGTTTCTTCAGGGGCTCTGTCTTCATTCCACAGTCCAGAAAGAAATGCTTATAAATACATATGTAGCTCTAAATTACTCTACAATTAAAGTATACCCCTGATGCATTAATGCATTAATTAATTAAAGTATACCACCTTTGATGCATTAATAACCCCTTAAGGGTAACCTACATATCTCCTTTTGGATGCTAGGTTAGATTTCAGATTACCACACCACCAAATCAGAGTAGTAAAGGAAGGGGCACTAAAACATCACCACTAACATCTTTACAATCTTGTTATATAAGAAAACATTTAAAACTCTCCTTGAAAAGGAAATTGGAAGAAGTATCAGTAAAATATAGCAAAACATGTGTTTTGCAATTATTGCAACAATTTCACATCATTAGCACTACCAGGAAGCTGATTAAAGGAGAAAGGGGAAAAAGCCTATTTAGATGAGATGCAGCAATTTTAAATGGAAAATGTATAGTTTAAACAAAAGCTTTTTTCATCATTGTTAATAAAGATAAATCTTTAAATATGAGATGGTTTGCTCACTGCTGTAGGTGATGTTAAAGCCTCTTCCAGACATCGAATGGTCAGCCTGAAACTCCAGTTGCAAAATGTTGCTGTTGGAGGTGAGATGTGAAGGTACTTCAGCACCTGAAAAACGTCCCAGCATTGTTGCTTCTGACTGATCCCCATCTCTGACAGTGAGGAAGTCGTAGGGAGGTTCCAGGTCAAAGTCATTGAAGGCCAAGTGAATCCTTGAGCCAGGTTCAGAGATGATCAGCCACACACAGTTTAGGTTGTTCCCATAGCCTTCTGGGTAATCTGGAGACAGTACTGTCCCCATGGGTGCAGTGAAGTTGGAGAAACAGGGAACTAGAATGTAGAAAAGACACCAGCAATGATTCATAAAACTTCACTGATGAAAGTACTGTGATTTGTCTTAGAGCATATCTCACAGACTATGGGGCTCTCTAAAGGGAGCATTGTGCCATAACAGAAATGTGTGAAGCAACTCCAGCAGAACAATGTCACTATTGTATAAGTAGCTCAGCAATCAGGAGACAGCATAGCTCCCATGGGTCCTGAGTAGCTGGAGAAGCTGCATGGAGAATAGCCATATTGCAGTACAGGTGCATGGAAACACAGCACACCGCCCCAATGGGCACAGTTAGTGTTGCGAAACAAACACTCTGCATTGTTTAGATCTATCTAAACTAAAGACCGGAATTCTGTCATGACAAAGGTGGATGTACTATATAATATTCCCTTTTACTGTGTAAGAGTCATAAAACAAATTATTTTCCCCTAATTCAGCCAAACATTAAAGAATAAGAAAACCACATGCTACAAGTAAATAAGTCTATATTTTGGCCTTTTACAAACTGTGTACTACATGTTTAATTCCATTGACTGTAATTAATTCTCCAACAACTTGTTGTAACTATTAACCTTCAAAGTTTATGAGTAACTGCTGTATTTGTTGTCATAAAAAAAACAAAAAGGTTGAACTGGGCTTGGACAGGACTTACATATGCAGATGGGGATGTTAGCTGACCATTGATTGTTGTTTTGGCAAGTAATCATCCTCTCCCCGATGAGCTCAAATCCAAACTGGCATTTGAAGCGAAGGACGTCACCGTTTAAAAACCCACTGCCCTCTTTGTAACCGTATAGAGGCGTGCCAGGGTCACCACAACTATCCTTGTCAATTTCTGTTTGCAAGGGGAAGATGGATGGATGGTTGGAAGGGAAAAGTAGAGGATTTAGTCCAGCCAGCTTCAAAAGAATGTTTTCTTTAACATTATCTGTGAGTTCTCACAAAAGGCTCTTGTCAGTGAGTAGAAGATGTAATGGTGTACCTTTGTAGTTGATCTTGAAACCTATTGAGCCCACACTCTCATCAGACTGGAGATGGAGCCACATCTGATGGGACATGCTGACAATCAGGTCAGGGACAAAGCTCCCACTCAGTCTGCAAATAAGACACAGAAACATTGGAATCAAGCACTTTTCAAATATTAATCTATTTTACAATATCACTCATATATCACTCATATATCAATGGCTATAAGGAAATAACAAATCCAGTACACATACTTATAATGTGCTTAACGATTAATTTAATGTTTTATTTATGATTAATTTACTTTTCAATTTGAAAGGCTTGTTCATCCTATATTTGGTAAATAATACCATAAGAATTCTTGCATGATATTGACCACTATTCTTGGTAGATTGCATTTAAATTGTTTTTTTAGACTTTTTCCAGATATTAAACAGATTGTTTTGGGATATCTGATAGGGCGGAGGTAAGGCCCAAATGATCATGTTTTTGTTAGCCTTTTTATTCATAAGTTTTGACATCTGTGTTGGATCTTCACAGTCTGACCAGTTCTATTACATCTTTCAACTATCCCATACCATCAGAAGTCAATAAATCTTCTATTTGTGTTCAAGAAGAATTATCTTAGAAGGACTACAGTTCAGACCTATCATAAATTGGGAACAGAAGGGGCATAGGTCTACTGTAAATGTTCACAGTGGAGCAAGTTATTCAGTAGGGTGACATCCCCAAAAATTGCCCTGTTTCAAATCAACACTAGTGTTGCAGCTGAACTGACATTTACAGCTATTTCAGAGCCTCTGGAGAAAAGGTTTGTCAGTATTGACAAGACATGTTTGGAGGGTTCAATGTGGGATTTTCAAATCTAAATACAATGTAGCCACTGCCATGGCAGAGGTAGTGTCATGTTAAGGAACTGTTTCACTGCTAAAGATGGTAGTGCATTGCTAAAGGTGGATGGATAAAAAAAGACTTCCATTGCAACTCTTTTGCTTTACCCCACATTAACATCCTAACAGTTAGAGCCTGGACCATTGGTGATCCAGCTGCATATGAGCCCAAACACATCGAAAAAAGGCTTTGGAATGGATGAAACAGACTCAAATTAAACTTCTGGAAAAGCCCACTCTCAATTCTATTTAAGATCTATAGATGAAAGTCAGATCTATAACAGGAAACAAATTAGCTTAAATGTTCTCTACAAAATTTCAATAAAAAGGGTGGTCAAATATCCGACTGGAATAGTGCTTGCTGATGCCTAAAAAAAGCATGACATGTCTCCTCAGTTTGGTAAAGAACATTAATCAACAAATGTAAATCACAACAATCTGCATTATAAAGTATAACATTTTTTTTTTACTTACATCTGAATTATTGTTTTAGAGTCTCCAACTTCCCCTCCATCTCCGATGGTTAGTGAATCATATCCAATTTCTAAGTCAAACTCTTCAAAGTTGATTTGTATGACCTGTAATTGATAAAATAAACAAGTGTTTATTTTCAGAAGCAAAGAAAAGTAATCATTAATTAAAACCAACTGTTTTCTGAATCACTATATTGTTGCTATACCTGCTAACAGTCAGCGACAGCGAAACAATGTGAGGTGCTTTCATTGATTAGACCTAGACCAAATTTTGTTTTGTACAGCTCTCATGGCATTTGTTTTTTAAATCAATATACTTTAATTACATTCTTTTGAATTTAAGTTTTATTTTCGAATATGTGACTATTTTACTCGGATGAAATCAATAATAAAGCTAACTATTTTCATAAATTCCCTCTAAGGGGAATGTTTTTTTGGAGATGGGAACGTGGTTAAAGGAAACCAAAAAAGGAAAGACTTTCAAATGTGGTATGCATTTGCTAGGACAAACTTCAAAAGGTTTGATCAACCAACACTGTAAAAGCTTAACAGTTACCCCAGCTTTTAATTGAAACACTAACACTCCAGACCGTAGCTATGAAATCTGCACAATCTGCACTTCCCAAAATCTCTAATCAAAAAAGTCATACATAGAAAGCAAAATCATTAGAGAACTTAAACCTTTAATGTCTAAAGATAAGGACTGTAGCAATGATTGTGTTTCCATTCTATACATCTATACTGGATAATAGTACTGCAAACATTGTTCAAAGGAATAAATTAGATAAACATAGCACAATCAATCTTAAACATCAAATTTAATGGAGAAAAGTATTTTCTGTATTTCCATGGATATGTCTTTGCTGCTTTGCCTTGGCATATCTAGTTAAAAAAAATGTAAATTCTATAATAAATGAAAGGAGAGGATATTCTGGAATCATTTTGCCAAAAGTTTCTAACATAATCAGATTAATCATTGTGCTTCAGAGACATATGCCAGTGAGTTACATTATTTCAGCCTGGAATTTGGCTGGACTACCAGTGGAAGCAAGGATGAGTTAATGACAATAATGTCACATCTGCTAATGACAAACAGGATGACTGCCTGTTCATCCTTAGCCCCCTTTTTTCTCTGGCTGGGGGTGGACAAGGTCTTCACTACATCCATGTATAGCAGCCTCATTACAATGCACACAGAACCATAATTACCATAATAACACTAATGGACCAAGTTTTACTGCCAAGTAAAATCCTTGTTTGCCTAAGAGGGAGCAGAGTGGCACAAAGCTATGGTAGCCGCCAGTCATACTGAGTTCTAAATGAGACTTCATTGGTTGATTACCGGCCATTGGGAGGGTTGGACTTAGTTAACGCCCCGTAAATTTGACTTAATGTTTGGTCTGGCAATAAATAAGCCAAGAATTGCAATGCCACAAAAAATCACAACAGCCTTCAAACTTTTATCACATTTAGTGACTTTACAGCTATAAACTTTGAAAGTATTTTTATTCAAGACTTTATCTAAAAGACAAATACAGAGTACCTTATTAATTCAACTTGGGGAAAAAACCTTAAAGCTTTTTATAAATGAAAGTATGACAAGTAATGCATGTTTGTTCTCAGCCCTCTTTAAGCCAATACCTCTAAATGAAATCCATGGAAACCTGGTGTCATGGATTTCAGGGACAATCTTATTTTTGAAATGCAAACCTAGAGCAATTAGAGTAAAAAGTAGTTTTGCAAAGTACTGGAATAGGAACATTGAATACTGATGCATGATATTTTTGTATTTCCTTTTTTTTTGTCATTTTTGTTCACAACTATTTACTGCTTCGTTTGAATCACATAAAATCCCATTAAAAGCCGTTAAATTTGTACCTGACACTTGAATAATTTTTAAAAGGTCGGCAATGAGGAAAACATTTATGATATCCAAAGTATTTCTTAATCTACTTCCTTCTTGTAGATTTTTTTGTATTACATTTATAATATATAACAAGTACATTTCTCCACTGTGAGATCAGTAAAGTCACTCAATCAATCAATAATACGTTGCTGAATTGATTCATGTGGAAATATTTGCTCTCATAACTGCTGTTCAAAAGATGTTAATGTGATTAAAATAGCAGATTACCACTGCTAGACACATCCAAGAACAAACAGTGCTAAGTAAAGACTAAAAGAATTTGTTTTACTACCTTGTTTGGATCGCTGGCAGTGATGATCCACACACACTGGGAGTTACTCTCATACTGAATGGGGAAATTGGGGGACGTAAAAGTCCCAGATGGCCCCTGCAGATTCGACCCACATGTTTTCACTGCAAGAGCACAAAACAACAAAATGATAACATTGATAAAATGCTGTTTGGCAGTAAAGTGTTAGGCTTTCCGAATGTTTAAAATCTTGTTTCACAACAATGTCACAAATATCTCTGATCGTTCCAAGAGGCTTTTTTTTCTACTCGACAGTATCCCCTAATACACAACCAGGATCATGAAGAAACATCCGCAGCAACAAAACAGAACAAGAAGATCTGTGGAAGATATTACAGGCCCCACAGAGCCCGTAATATCCAGAACTACGTTTCATAGAGTATGTCTGTGATTACCAGAAGAAAAAAATCCTTAAATCTCCCAGTTCAGACATTTTTCCCAAATGCCTGGATCAACTTTTCAGTTATGTGAAAGCTTTGTGCGCATTCACATCACAATGATGCTGTTTACCACTACCACAATGTTTTATTTATTATATCTATATTATCAATCATGTCCAATAATATGATAAATAAGTCAAAATCATTTTCAAACTAAATTTAAATATTTAGGAAAATACTGAGGAAGAGACTGCAGCCTTTTATGTTGTAATATGACTGAGGGATAATGTATTGTTTGCATAAGCAGAGAAAGGGTCCATTGGGTGTACTTCCATTAATCAAATTCTAAAGGGTGCTCCAGGTAATTTGAAACACAGCAAAACTGGGAAAGCATTTTGGAAACGAAGAGTGTGGCAGCAGAGGCTTTCATGCATAATTAACAGAAATGAACTTTCCTCTATCTGCATAGAGCTTATAACCAGAGGCACTGCCTTAATCAAGCTGTTTTATTAGCTCTTCAGAAAGCCACACTCACCCTTGCAGACTGGCCTGTGGTCGCTCCAAGCAGCGAAGACTTCAGCTACACGCTGGCAGGTAATCGTTTTGGAACCCTGCAGCACGTGATCGTCATCACAGGTAAATTGAGCAGTCGCTCCGATGCTGTGATGATAACAAAAAAACATTAGAACTCAGGAAAAGCAATCAACTTTCCAAAGATCTCTGCTAATGAGAAAATATATAAAAATATGTCTGTTATTTATATCATGCCAGTCAAAGAAAATGACATATACACTGACTAAACCAATGACTTCTGAGTTAACATGGGGTGTAGTTCTTATAGGTGTACATACCCCTGTTAAAATGGAAGGGTATTATGATGTAAAACAAAAAAAATAACATTTACATGATGTAATGGGTTTCAAACCCCATTACATGATATGATTTTAAATATGTCTTTTGCAGTTTAAGTAAAAAACCAAACAAAAGCACTTTATTGAACTTTATTAATTTATTCAACATTTAGATTTGGATTTAGCAGAATGTCACTTTTTAAATTTCTTCACTGACAACAATAGAAAATTTGAACCGGAAATAAAATTAAGTTGGGATGTTAGAACTATTGGCTTGTTTTTTGCACTTTAGTACACTGTAAAATAGTTTTTCTTAAAAATACATGAGGTTGACTGAATCCCCAAAAAGATGCATGAAACAAAAGAAAAGTTCTAAAAGTTTTTTTCTGTATTTCTTGACTGCTGAATTATCTAACGTTTGAGGCCTTTGGCAGTTAACCAACATCCTCATTCTGAAATTTAAGTTTTACATAGCCAGTCTTTCCTTAAAAAAAAAAACATAGACAGGACAAAGGCGCTGTGTTGTTGTGTATCGATGACAGCACAAATTTATGGGAGGCAGGTATGCAGATAAGATACTTACCACCCAAAAGGCTGTTTATCAAAACCTGAAAGGGGATGCAGGTGCATTTCTGTGTCTATGTTTAGTACGTTTAAAAGTCAGTTCCAAACACGCAAAAAATTCAGCTGTCATTGCGACTACAACTGAGGCATTGTTGCAATAACAAATGATGGAGAGAAAGTGTGTGCATGTAAACTTTTAAAATAGCGGATTAAAAGGTATTTATACAGGTTAATACTAAATATACAAGACTGCAGGCAATCATTATGCACTTAAGTTAAAACGTAAAATACCATGACTGAGCTCATGCTTTTTTTTTTTTTTTACCATATTTATTTTAAAAAGTAAACAACAATAAAAGCAGAAATTTTTTTTTTTTTTTCTCAAATCTTCTGTTTATTAAGAATCTGCCTACTTTAACATGACGGGAAGAGCTAGGTGTAGTCAGGCCGCTATGGCTGTTATCTAAGCCAGATGTTGGAATGGGAATTGCCCCCAGACTACAGCTGTGATGTCAGCTAGCCAGTCCATCATTTCCTATTAATTTATATTTAAAAAACTAGTTTTATTACACTTTTAAACAAGAAAGTAAATATCAAAACTCCATTCCTGCTGTCAGTTCATCAAGCTTATTAGCCTACTTTTAAATCTGCCTTTACAAAGGAATAGAGCGCTGCAGTCAGGATAGTCTGGCTTCTAGGCTAGTTAAACTAATGCTAGCAGTGGAATATCCCAGGTTTCATCTGCATTAGGGTTGGCCAGGTAGCCTGACGTAGTCCGACTCAATTCTAGTCAGAATATGCCTTCCCCGAACTCAAACCTTGTGGGCGGGACTAAGTTCGGACTGGCACCCAGGCTATTGGCCAGGCACTCCAGGATTTGAAATTATTTAATAGAGCTCATTTTCAGTTTTAAACATATTCACAATGTGTAAATCATTTACTGTCTTGCAAGTGTAAATATTCTTCCATCCCATAGCCAGGATCAAAGCTTGACCAACTATGCAAATGATGTGATGATGTAATTGGATTAGTAGCAAAAATACGAATAAAAAATACAAATTAAAAATACAAATTTTAACCTTAGGGATAAAGTTCACCTATTAATGGAAGGAATTTATTAAATGCATAACTCTGAAGCAGGAAATGTGATTTTACTGTATTAATCAGTTGAAAAAAAGTGGGCTATTTATCCCTTATGGAAAACAGGGATACAAAAAACTGTTTTGCTGTTTGATGAGTATTCACGTAATTTGTACGGTTTAGTTATTTTCTCCCCATTTTCTTAGCATATCTTATTAAATCTACTTATTGCTGCCCTCTTAGAGGCTTTAGTAAAAACTTTACATCTACAAGAAGGAGAAAGTGCACATGCTGTGGCTGATGATCACGAATTTTGAGATATGTAACAAGGCCTTGAAAGTGTGCATATCATTAAACACTTATTATTTAACTTTTTTCCAGTGGTTTATATTAACATTTCATCATTTTTTTATTTAACTGGCACAAGATTCATAGCACATTATTCACGTTAAAGTTTTTGGAGTAACTTAATGTCTTTTTTTTCCTCGCAGATGCATTTTAACAGGGATGCATGCACTTAGATGATGCAGCAGACTGTAGGTATCAAGATCAAGAGATCAAACAACAGCTTTGTTAGAGTTAACAAGAATATTTCATGAATACTTTAGGTAGCCATAATAAGGGAGAGACTGGACATAGGAAATATCAATAATGATACTGAGAAGACTTCATGTTTTCCCTCTACTATCCTTTAACTGTCCACATGAGCTCATTTGCTTCAGGTAAAAAGCATCGACTAACCTGAAGTCAGAACCAATCCGTTTGCCATTCTCCGGCTCGCCTGGGTCAGGACAGTAATTAGACACCTGTTTGATCCCCCCTTCATTCACTAAACAAGGGAGAAAACCAGAAGCGTAGTGTGTGAGGGATTTTTATTTCCTTATATATTCACAAAACGTCCATAAAAACTTCACAAGTTCTCCAAATGGATGTCTTCTCTGAATGAAAGAGATGTTTTAGTATTTACAGTATATGAAAAGTTTGTGCTGAATTCAAATTGTTTTGAGATAAAGCCACTGCCTGGGTAAAATGAAACAGTTTTACCTGAGTTAACAAAAACAAAGGAAAATCTATCATTGCCCAGAAAGGGAATGAAAAACCTTGAGTTATTGATTGTGGAGAAAAACAAACCCACTCAGTAAGACTTTCATATTTCTAATTTAGGTTTAAGTCATCAAGGGCAGCTTTTTATTGGAGGCTATTTTGTCAGGAATGTGGCCAGCTGAGTAAAAATGAGAAAAATGTAAGTGATATATCAGATTGAATAAAATTCATAAAAATCTATCACATACAGTGTTCACACTGCTGATACCATTAAAACTATCATGTTGCAAAATCAAAAGATTTTTTCTTTATATTTTTACTGATTAAAATCTGGAAAAATTATTTTTATTTGTATCCCTTAACTCCTATACAGCTGAAAAAATGGAACACAGTTTATTGCCTTCTAAGGTCTTACTGTAGATAAATGAGACAGAATCTACACATCTAGAAGTTTTGAAAACGTCAGTTTTTTTAGTGAAAGATTAAACAGGACCATAATAATCAAGGAAAACAGCAGATAATTTAGGGGTGAAGTTTAGGAAGTTTGAGCTTCCAGAAGGACGGTGACCTTACGCATTCACCTACAGCAGAACTGCTAAGATTAGGGCATATTCATTTATCAAATGACAAAAGCATGATCAGACAAACTTCATGTGGGAATGATGATGTTCACATAGGCTTTCCATAGAGTCAAACATATAGAATTGAAAAAATAGGAGCATGTAGACCAAACACATTCTGTATGCATGCCACATTTTTCAGATCTTATTAGATTTCAAACCATGTTTTGCTCTAACCTGGCAATAGCCAGAGTGATATGTGTAGAACTAAGTTGAGTTATAAGTTTTCAATGTGAGATGGTTACCATTCAGTCTGTCCATGAAAAGGAGGGACGTTTAATACAATACTTTTAGCTGATTGGGTTTACATGCCAGCTAGCACCCGCCCTCCATAATACACTTTCAGCGTTCTCTAGCGGAGTAAGCTGATATATAAAATTTTTTCCAAATCCTTTCAGAAGGAAAGCACAGACATCTTTACCATGCAATGCACAGGGTGCTTCTCTTTGCTCCTTTCCTAAACTAGAAATTGTTGCTTTTTTTAGCCAAAAGTGAATAAATTGCGCTATCGACAGATGAGTCCTCCAGCGTAGCATTTTTGTAATGCCCCCACAAGGCACTTCTGACTGTCATTATTCCTACATGTCGTGCACAAAAAAACACTGCTTGCATTTCATAGGTCCAACCCACTGGTGGTTCAGAGACGGACGTATTAGTGGGATCCTTTCAAGATGGATTTATTGTGAGACTGAAAACTCAGATCTCGCGACAATCCAGCTTTCAGCGCAAGGTTAGTTTTGCTCTCTTTCCACTTCAGAACCCTGTACTACTTTAGATAAAGCCGTCACAAAATGTCCCAATTAAATATATTTATTGTTCTAATGTGATTGAATTTTAATATCTTTGGAGGTATTTCATACCTGTAGAAAAGTAAAGTATTTTAAATTCCATAAAGGACTTTTTTTTTTTCCATTTGCCATTTTGACCTGTGTTTATCTAGTGGTTTATTCTCAGAAGAAGTTCATTGACTCTGAACTTAATTTTTCCAGGTTATGTTGAAGTTGTGAGTTCAATAATGGGTGATAAATTCGCAAAGCATATGAAGCATTTCCTCATTGTATTTTAATGATATACAGCATTGTCTCATGGAGAGGATTACAGCCCTCTGCATTATTCATGTTTCCATGGAGTGCTGAATCTATGATGTGCAAGGTAATAAAGATTACAACCTGTTATCGTCCGAGTCTTTAGCACTCCGCTGAGTTAAAGGGAATCGTGCTCCAGATTTATGTTAATGACTGAGCTCTGCAAGCTATTAGGATGCATTCTGTTTCATCTGAAGAGTACACAAATCACCTGAAAAGAAAGTGGTCACTCATCCTTGACTGGTGTTGTGTGTCTGTGTATGTCAGCCATAAGTCATGTCTGTTGCTTTCATGATAAAGTGAGAGAAGACTGTGTTTAGTCCAGTTTATCCTCCTGTTGTAATGTACATAAGTGGGACTCATTTAGTTAAGTTCATTTCTCTTTGGGACAGCAGGGGAAAATGGGTCATAAGAAAGAAAAACAGACTGCACTTCTGCAAAATCTAGTACTGTAGCTTGATTACTTTTCCAAATACAGTGTAGAGAGAGGCAGACAGAAACAAAGACCCATAAACGAAGGCGCTATATATACAAAATTTTTTATTAAAAACCCCCCAAACAAGCGAAAATACTTGTATAAGAAAAATAAAAGACTTACTTAAAGACAGTTTGTTAGTGTTGTCCTTTCCTGGTAATACTTTTACCCCTCTGGATTTAAGCTCTCCAGAGCTTTTCACTGGTTGAAAGCAATGAAAAGAGTTCATTAGATAAAAGAAGTTACAGTATTAGATGTGAGAAGATACAGTACAAATGTTTCTTTCTCTTTAGAAAACTAGATTGTGTGAACATCAAAGTTTGACTACTAATGCCTTTCAGTTTTAGTCATTGCCCTGGCAATTCTAAAGATAGTTATGCTTGTTGTATTTTTCTTTTTTGTTTTCTCTTTTGTTATTTTCATCAAACAATAGATGATAACCTTTGGGCAGACAATATTAGATAGTCAGGGGACATATCATGCAGAATAACAGAGCATGCCAAGGACGACCACAATACGTAACTTAATGAGGTCTAATCAAACACAACAGGGGCCATATTAGAGACAAAAGCTAAATGATGCAAGTGGATGTCATCATCGAACGAATGGCTATGAGCAATAAATGGTGTATTAAACTAAAACAAAGGGATCTTAATTTGAAAGTGCTGGGACAATGCCTCATTTCTGCACACAAAAAAATAATAATTATGTTCTGAATCTATTAAGCGATGTGCTTAAGCTGTTTTAGAAATTCTAAAAGAAAAAAAATGCTCTTCTGTGCCTAAAAATCTAATATCATATGCGGTCAGATAGAAAAGGAAATGATTTCAGTGATGTTCAGCAGAGCGCAGCGAGATGTTTTAGCTAGTTAGTTTGCAGCATGTTGGTGCACATTTTAATATAATGGTTAGAGCTGTTACAGATTACCGCTTTATATCTAGTTTAGGGACCAGGCTTTAAAAGCATATGCAGCACATACACTGCAACGAGAACAATATGAGGGCAATAGATTATAGAGCTCATAAAGTAAGATTTTCCAGAGGGTAAATTCAGTATCTACAAAAACAAATATTTGATTAAGAATATCTTAGTCTGAAGCAGTGAAAAAAGCCTTCATGCCCTCCACAAAGGGTGTTAGTTAATCAAACTGTTTAATATTCAGTTAACAAAGATCAAAAACATGTTTGGTAATTAGCCTTCAGTGCATTTCTTTTTTCTATGATGATCCATTCTGATCAAGGAGGGGGGCTTTTATTACAGTGTGCTAATGAAGAAATGGTGTCTTACCTTGATACTGAGCTCTGAAGCCTTTATGTCTGTGGTTGCTTTCTGTTACAAAGTGCAGCCGTAGCCAGTTTTTGTTGCTAATGATGGAAGCTGGAATAGTCTTTCCAGTCAGCCTGAAAGTAAAAATTCATATATGACAAGACATCACCATGTGCTTGAATATTAACCCATCTTCATATCCTGGTCATCTGCTTTAGTTTTAATCTGTAATCCAATCTGTTCAAATTAACATGTACAAAATCCATATTCAACATGCTAATGTACAGAAGTTTGTGTAAGTGTAGAGTTTTCGATCTCGAACAAAAAACAGCACCATCATCATGCCATGAAATGACAATGTACTATCATCTTATTTTTTCATTTTTATGTTATAAAAACAATATTATTACAACATCCTGTACATAGTCATTAATTTTTCCCATAATGTTGCTCATGTTCTTATGATAGGGATTATTTTGTAATAACATGATTATAAATCATAATGACATGCAAATTATGTTTTCAGAAATAAAAATTAAATCCCAAATCTTACAGTTTGTACTGTAAAGTTCAAATGTGTCATTATACGTATGGTCAGGGTGGAGACAAAAGATTCATCAGCTTGGTCGTGAGAAAATATTTTGTGTTTGTTTCCTATAACAATCTGTTATTATCTCTCTGACAGAGGAACAAATACATTTGACTAACATATATTATTAACTTACATATAGTATTGACTATTTATATTATTAAAACAAGAGGAATATACCATATACAATGTTTTTAATAATAAGATATACTGTAGTCTCCTCTTTTTTCTGTTGCTTAGTGGCAGCTCCAAACTTCCATGAATTCTCAAAAAATTTAATTAGATAGAAAGGCTGCAGAAAAATTCTGCTCTTCAGGAAGATTTTCTGACAACCTCAAACTTTACTTTCCTGTAGCCCAAGAATATTTAAATAATGAAAATAAAAATAAAAAAATCCAAATTTTTTTTTTTTTTTTATCTAAATAAGTTTTTAACTTTGCCCATCAGTGCTAAAAAGAAATAATTGCTTTACTGTGACTAAAGAAATGGCTGGCAAACACCTTTCTCAGTCTTAAAGACACAGACAACACTTGCAGAAAGAATTATGTTTGCATCTTGAACACATGCCAAACAGAAAACATACCACGTGTTCAGTCTACATTCTGGTTTGTCATTAAATGTGTGTTAACAGCTTGTCAAAACATCTCTATGAGTTCTCAGTCTGGTTCCTTACAGTGTGGAGTTGCGGCATCAGGAATGCTCTATTATGTCAGAAGTTTCAATCTGCCAAGGGCCCTTCTCATATGCTAGGCTAACAAGCTTTTTTTATTGCCTTCAAATCCTTACAATATGCCCTGTCATACCACAGCCAACAGAACAACAATGTCATTGTACAGTTTGAACAGATGCTTCACAGGACGTAGGAGGGTATAGTAGTGTTGAGTCTTCTGTTCCCAAGATGACACACACTAAAAACAATAGAACATCTTGTCAGCTTGTGCATGTGTCTTCTTACATGCTTATCTTTTATTGTTATATTTAGGCACATGCAGTTGTATTTTAAACATGTCTTATGTGTGATTTCTGTGCAATTTGCTCTCTTTTTCCTATCCCATCTTTACCTCAAGGACAAAGAAATAAGCAAAATGGTGGAGGAAATGACAATGGCATTTAGAGAAACGGGGGAAAAAAAGGTTGCTATGACTGACAGAAACAGAGAGAGAGGCGACTTTTTCATTTGGTGATGATTACAAATTCTGTAAATTTATAATAATCCCATCTGGCATTTGATTTTTTTTCTTGTTTTGATTTTTTTTCTTGTTTCATTTATGAAAATGGGCTCTCATATTTGGATATTATTCTTAATAATCTCAGAGTGGAACACAGGTCAACTACAGAGGAATTATTGTAGATTCTCATTTATTTTAGGTTACAATAATTTTAAGTCCATACAGTATGATTAATCTCAAAGCAGAAGTATGGCCTCTTTTCTAATTAATTTTCACATAATGACATTTTCTCACTGTATTGATAAAATATTAATTTATACATACATGCAGAAGTAAAGACTGTGAATGCCCAGTAGCTAAAGGAAGATGAGACTATTTGCTTCTTTCAGAAATCTCATAAAGGAAACAGTGATAAAGCTACCTCCATCTAAGAGACCCACTAATTATATCCCCAGAAGAAAGTGACGTGAGAAAATTCAAAATGATATTTTTGTCACAAAGGAAAATGTGATTGAGAAAGGAAAACATGATCATCTGTCAACGGCAAACAAAGGTCCATAATACAAAAAGACAAAAAGCATGTTATGAGTTGATATGAAAAAATGACACTTGGAAAATCACAGTGGAAAAAAAAACAGGAAGGTATACAAAGAAAAATTATGCTGTGCATTGATGTTGGTTTCAGAACAAGTGCTATACGTTGCACAAAAAGGTACCCTGCAGGTATCTGCTGACTTAATAGGGACACAAATGAATACAAATATACCCACATTCAAAAGACACTGTGAAAATAATAGTTTTTGGTGTGCTGTGCTTGGTCCAAGTCGCAGCCCAATTGGTTTAGTAAATAATTTAGCTGTTATGGTGGGATCCAACACGTCAAAACACACAAAGAATAATACATCACTATTCAAATTGCCTGTTTTCTGACATATAACCTTTTTTTATGGTTTCTGTGTCTCTATATATGTGTAAAAACACAATTGCTCTTACTCTATTTAGTTACTTTGTTAGGTTTACTTAATACTGAAGATACTATCAGTTGAACCTGAGTGTTTTGGTGAGACAATCCACAGTCTAAAAAAGAAAATGCTGCTGCAACTTCAATAAATTGCTCTAACTGGTAACAAGTTATCGAATAAAATTGATCCAACTTAATTTATTCCGTTTATAAGTTGAAAACATGACATGTTGGTTAAACTAAAAGATTATTCCACCAGTAAATCTGCCAGACCTGGTATGAAAAATCTTGGTCAGAACAACAAAAATCTATTTTTTTTTTATATATATATATATATATATATATGTTCTAGATTTTTTTTTAAATCTTGTTTTAACATTATGGAGATTAAAGATACTTTACAAGCCTTAGTCACAGACTCGGCAGACCATTTGACGGCATTTTTGTATAAAGAGCTCTGTCTGTAATTTTTGACTGTCTAAAACTACTTTTTGTTGCTCCAGTTTTTAAAATCTCTTGTTTTCAATTACTACTACAATATCCTTTACTAAATGTGATTATTTGGATTTGTAAAAACTATATTTGTGAATATATTTCTGAAGAAAAATCAATACATTTGTACATGAATCACCTCCAAGGTGTTCAATTTCAAACAATGATTCATATTGGTCCAATAGCAGATTTCCATATGACTATAATTGATATGCAGGAAATATGTGTGCAAAGTTACATAATAAAATGGTACCTTAGCTACTCCCTTGTCCCTTTTAACTTAGAAGGTGTAATATTGGAGCTTAGTGTATGTTACTGTAGTTTGCTAATATACTGACTTCGGAGAACAGAGCAGTCTTCCATATGCCCAGAAACAATTTTTTTTATTCGTTATGTGAAACACCTGAGTCAATTCTCAATTCACAGTCCTTCATTAGAATAGAAGTTCAATTTTTCCTTGACTGTACACTATTAGGCATGCCATTTTAAGACTATTTGATTGATTTTACTTTGCCTTGGAAGATCAATATAAAATCCCAGAGCAAAGAAATGCAATCTAACATGCATAATAATTTAACTGAAGTTGGTAATTTAGCTGCAAGACACCTCTTCCTCTACATAACCTTTAAATATTGCAATCTAACTCAGGCAATCTTTTAGCTGCACTGTTGGAATAGGACTGTTCATAATTATTGAGCCGAGCAAAATATTGTGTGCTGTGGAGACAATCAATTCCAAAGCTAGCTGCCTGAATATGTTTATAGCATCCAAAAAAGATACTCTAAGTAATTTGAAACATCTGCAAGAGACTGAATCCTGACCGGGGGTGTAAAATGAGGTCGATAGACAACCAGAGAAAGGAATCACCACATAATTAAATTTTCTGCTTGAATTTCCTGTCATAAGCAGAAAAAATAAATGTTTCAGATATTTGCTATACATTTATGGTTGAAAACGCTGTGTAGATATTTGAAATAATGACTGACATGTGATTTACTGCTTGTTGTTTTTGCCCTTTGTGAACAGAGCCAAACAATCATATTAAAGGTCAACAGAATAGCATTGTTTTTTTTTTTTTTTTGGTTGTTTGTTTTGCTTTTTCTATAACAATCCAGAGATGTGTTTTCTTCCCAAAAAGTTATTTTTTGTTTGGTCTGTTTTCAAAAACAGATTGATGTGCAGCCTTAGATCAACCTTCAACACCTTGGTAACATTGAAATCAATAAAACTTATTTGGCAAGTTCTGATATATAAAAAAAAAATGTTCAATTGACAGAAAGATAACAGTTTCTAGGTGCATAGATGAGTGGGAAAAAATCTGTGTTTTTTTTCTCCCACTGAGAATGTCAGCAATCATTTATGGAAAAGAAGTGACAAATTGGGTAAATCTTTAAAATCCCCCCAAAATGTTAGTATTCTCCTTCACATGTTTTGCAATTTGAAGCTAATGCATCTTGTAGTCACATTTCTTACACTGATATGATTATCTCATACGGAGATATCCAAGGTAAAGTGGATCATATTTTAAGTTTATTTTCCTGAAAAGGATAAAAAGCAACAATAAATCTACCAGAGTGTACGGTTCCAGACTGTCTATCATTGTTAAGCAGCTGTAAACCTCAAGGCTAAATTGACAGTTGGCTCGTCTCTGCCTGCAGCTGGTGCTATACATTAGGGTGTTTGAATGTTTAGCAGTCCTATGGCCTTGTACAGAGTGAGACACGCTCATAAACAGAGCAAGAACAAGAGCTATGAGCTTTGTAGGCATAAGGGGATTCAGACTTCTACACTCTGCACGTGGGCTCATTGATTCCCCTTGGAACTGTTAGGCTTAAAAGGAAAATGATGTCCGACAGCCTATGACATTTGGGGGCATATGGTGAAATCAAGAGTTACATGAACCACAGTGCTTACCACCTCAAA